TGGTGGTCATTCCCAGTATTCCAAGGAATCTCCATACTGCTTTCCATATTGGCTGCACGAATTTGCAGTCCCACCAGCAGTGAATGAGTGTACCTTTCCCCCACATCCTCACCAACACTTATTATTGTTTGTCTTCATAACAGCTGCCATTCTGACTGGAGTGAGAAGTCTTTTCTCTGCCTTCCTCAACATGATCTAGCCACACTGGCTTTGGTTTGTACCTCATATGTACCATCTTCTTTTCTGCCTCAAGGTCTTTACACATACTGTTCCCACTGTCTGGAATTTTCCCCTCTCTTCTCTCTTCTTCCTTACCCCTACCACTTTGCTTAGTTCATAGCTTAAATCTCTTCTTCTCTGAGAATAAATTCCGATTTCTCAGAGTGAGTTAGTTTTGTTTACTACTCTCTTTGGCTCCTGTACTTCTCCACAGGACTGATCACACTTCCAAGAATTATTTATTTTCACAATTACCTCCCCAGTGGACTTTGTGTTCCATGAAGGCAGAGCCTCTGTCTCATGTACTGTCTTACTGCTAAGTCTCCATTTCCTAGCATAGTGTGTGGCAGATGGGAGTCATTCAGTGTACATTTGTTGAATGAATGAACAAATGAGGATTTATATGCATAACAAAATAATACAGCTTGAGTATTAGTCTGGTCAAGCTGATATAACACAATATCATAAACTGGGTGGCTCATAAACAACAAAGACCTATTTCTCACAGTTCTGGAGCTAGGGAGTCCACAATCACAGATTGTCAGATGTAGTGTCTGTTGAAGGTCCACTTTCTTTTTCACAAATCACTGTCTTCTTACTATATCCTCACATAGTGGAAGAGTGCAAATGAGCTCTCTAGGGGTTATTTTCTAAGGGCATTAATTCCATTCACGAGGGCTTTATTCTCATGATATAATTATGTCCCAAAGGCCCTACATCCTAATACCATCACCTTAGGGATTAGAATTTCAACAGACAAGTTTTGTGAGGACATAAACATTCAGTCCTTTGTAGACTGTGTGGCTTAAACAACAGAGATGTATTTTTCCCAGTTCTGATGACTAGCAAATTAAAGATCAAGGTGCCATCCAAATTTTTTCCTGGTGAGGGTTCTCTTCCTGGCTTGCACTCAGCCATCTTCTTGATAGTTTCTCATATGGCAGGGAGGAAAAGAGCAAGCTCCTGCTGTCTCTTCTTCTAAGAGTACTAATCCTACCAGGAGGACTCCACCATCAGGATCTCATCTAAACCCAATAGGCCCCATCTCCAAATACCATCACGTTGAAGGTTAGGGCTTCAATGTATACATGGTGGGGTGCAATTCAGTCTAAAGCACTTGTTTTATCTCCTCTGATCCTTGATAACCCCACAACACAGGTTCTATTTTAGGATGAAGAAAAATAAACTTAGACCATTGAATCTTCCAAAGGCTTCTCAGCTAAGTAGGGACAGAGCTTGGAGGCTTTCAAATCCAGGAACAATTGCCTCACCAGCAACTCAAAACTGGCAGCCCCCCGAAGCATTATCCTGTTCGGCTTTGAGTCATTTTGGTCTGAAGGTAAATGTGAAAGTATGGGAGACAGGAGTTGAAGGGGAACTCAAATGGAGAGGAGTGCACACAGGCATGGGAACTCAGCAGGGCAAAGAAGAGCTCCTGAACATGGAGGGAAAAGATACTGAAATGGGTGGTTGGGGAAAGAAGTTTGACAGGAAACTGAACCCTGGAAGGTTGGGGGTGGAGTTTGGAACTATGATGTCAACTATCATAGGGAAATGTTTGACTCATCTTCCCTCACCCTCTTGGCCTTGTTCCCACATCCCACATCCCTTTTCTGGCACTGATAGGTTTTTTTCAGAACAGGAAAAAAGAAGAGCCAAAAAAAAAAAAAAAATTAACCCCCACCTTATACCCAAACAGTGGGAGTTACAAAGATCTCTCTGTTGAATAGTTCTTACAGCAAGAACATCTCTCCCACATTGAACCAATGTTAAGATAGATAGGGGTGAGATTCCCACAGTCCTCCAAAGCTTAGTTAACTCATAGCTTTCTGGAAATAGCTTCAGTAACCATATTGCTCAATTCACACAACATTTATGGAGCTCCTTCTCTGAAATAGGAACTGTGAAAGTGGCTGGAGTTGTGTTTGGCTCGCTCTGCCCTTGGGTCATGGTGAGCTTTGTGATGATTAAGGTACTTCAGGTAGCAGCCCCTTGTCTTGGTCACTGTTTATACAAAAAGGTGAATTCTCAGCCACAGCAGATGGGGGTGGGCTGTGTTGGGAATAGGCCTACCTTCCTTCCTTATGCTTTTATCTTACCTTCCCATTTGAAGGCACTCCTTTGAGTGTAGCCATTATCCTCCTGGTTCCTGCTAAGAAGAAAATTCAGAAGCCTGGAATATCCAATGTGTTGGTGTTGAAGCCCTGAGTGATCATTAAATAACTGTGTGGCCATGAGAGAGTCATATGGCATTTCTGAAACTGAAGAAAAAACATCTTCCTGCTTACTTTACAGGGCTCTTGGGGGAAAATATCCAATGATATATTACATATGTCACTCATAAACTACAAAACATTACATAATGCCAAAAAAAAGTGTAGTGATTTTCTCTGGTCTTGGTGGCACACACCAAGTAACTTAGGAGTAACTTAGCACACACCAGTAACTTAGGAGGCTAAGGCAAGAGGATGGCAAGTTTGGGGCCAGTCTCAGCAACTTAAGTGTGATGACCCTGTCTCTAAATAAAAAGGGCTACGAGGGTAACTCAGTAGTAAAACACCCAGGGGTTCAATCCCCAGTACTGAAAAAAAAATTGTAATTCTCATAGTTAATGAACTGGATGGGTCCTTTAGAATGCCTATTGTCACTCTTTATTTACTGAGGGCTTGGTCCTCTTCTAAACGTTTCATATTTCACATATTAATCTGAACAGCCCAGTGGGGTAGGTACTATTGTATCCTTCTTTTACATGTGAAGAACAGAGAGGTAAGTGACTGGTTCAGGGTCACATAATAAGTGACAGAGCCAAGATTCAAAAGCAGGCAGGCAGGTTGTAGAATCTACTGTTAACTACCAGACCAAGCTGTCTCCTTTGTGCTCTACTACAACATCTACATAGACTTCTGAGCACCTGATGGAAAACTATAATTGTTTCCTTTAATGGATAAGGTACTGAAAGCAAAGGAGTCGTGTTCACACACACACACACACACACACACACACACACACCTGTTGTTTGTGGGTTTTTTTTTTTTTGTGTGTGTGTGATGGTGATATATTTTCAGTACTGGAGACTGAACCCAGAGCTGGAATATGCTAGGCAAATGCTCTAACAATGAGCTATATCCCAGCCCTTTTTATTTTTATTGAGAGAAGAGTCTAGCTAAGTTGCCCCCATAGAGTAGCTGGGATGACATATGTGCCCCACCATGCTCTCTGAGTGTGTCTGCGTGCTCAATCTCTCTCTCTCTCTCTCTCTCTCTCTCTCTCTCTCTCACACACACACACACACACACACACACTCTTGCAGAGTTCCTGATTCGTAGTTGAAGCTCATTAACTATTTGTTGAATGAATAAAACCTTTGAGATGGTATACAAGACTGATAACAACCACTGTTTTTCTTCCACCTTTATTTGATTGACTATGCACATTTTCTCCAGCCATTTCCAATAGGAGGCTGTTTGGCATTTCTCCCTGTCCTTATTGTCCTCCTTTCCACTTTTTCTACTTGGACAATGACCCATGTAAAGTAAACTTCAAGGATGTGAACACTATACTTGGATAACAGTCTGACACACTGGGTCAAATAGGACTATCCCTTCATCCCCCTAAAAGTAGACCCTAATTATTCAGGAATCTGTCCTCAGGAGCCCACTTCTGCCCCTGTATTGTTTGCCTGACAGGTTCTTGACTATGAAACCAAGTATTCAAGGTGATTCTTGGGCCTTTACAAGGCAGATAGGCAGAATCTATGAAGACAACTGTCTTTCCTCCCTCCCTCCCTCATAAACAGCAAAATATTCTCTGTCTCTTCTAAACATTTCTCTCTCTCTCTCTCTCTCTCTCTCTCTCTCTCTCTCTCTCTCTGTGTGTGTGTGTGTGTGTTTTAAGTTTTTGGTCAGAAAGAAAACAAAATTCTCTAAGGTTTTAACAGAAGAAAACAGATGATGCTTTGTAAGGGATTTGGGGCAGGAAACTGCATCTTCTAATCTGGAATCTGGAAAATTTATCAATTTTGTTTCATAGCATAACTAGTGGAGATTTCTTGCAAGAAATAATTATCAGTACCACTGGCCTCACAAATCAGACTATATTCAAAGGGCTAAAAAGGGACAAGTTTTTGAATTTGGAGGTTTTGGGAAGTCCTGTAGTACAGTGGACAGGAATGTGTCTTGTTGGTCTCCTCATGTTGGGAAAGTACAGACTGTTGGTTCTCATCACAAACTCAGAAGAAAAAAACTGACAAAAATCGAGATTATTAGATAACTGGCAATCACACGCATGATTCATTCCTTATTCCAACCAGGGCTTTTATTTTCGGTTGTTTGTTTGGGTTAGAGATTACTTTGGGGAACTGTACGTCCCACCGGACACTCCAAACTCGTTTCTTAAGTCAAGGTCAGAGCCTCCAATCCTTAGGGCCACCGCCTTCCGGGTCCGCGACCCAGGAGTTGGCGGGCGGGGCCGCGCCGGCGGGAGCGCGCGCCCCAGCGTGCCGGTGGGTGTTAAGAGAAGGAGGACGCCGTCCTGGGAACGCGCGAGGCCTCACGTGCGCGCGCGCGCCCGCCCGCCAGCCGGCGCGCCCACGCACGCTCCCGCCCCCACTCCCGGGAAGTCTCGCGATGCGGTAGCCGGCTGGTCCCGCTGCGGGTGGCTCCGGCTGTTGCTGTGGTTGCTTGAGTTGCTGCTGCGGCGGCGGTGCTGGTGGAGGTGTGGGCCCCTGGGCGGATGTTGACATTGTGTTGTTGTTATTGCCGATGGTAATGGCGGAGGCGGTGGCGACGGTTCGGACCCCATCCGTTCACTAGCCGGAGTCGAGACAGACGAGAGCGAACTCCGCGGCCTGAACCGGCAGCAGCGACTCCCTCAGCCTCGCCGCCTCGCCAGCCGGAACCCCGGCGCCAGACCCTGGAGTCAGGCCCCTGGGGCAGGGGGGCTCGGAGGCACAGAATGGCGGATTTCGACGAGATCTACGAGGAGGAGGAGGACGAGGAGCGGGCCCTGGAAGAGCAGCTGCTCAAGTACTCGCCGGACCCGGTGGTGGTCCGCGGCTCCGGTCACGTCACCGTGTAAGGCCCGGAGGAGGGCGAGGACGGGAGGTGCAGGGCTGGGGTGGGCCCCACCTACTGCCCGGGCGTCCCCTTCCCCCCCCCGGTGTCTGTCCGGTGTCGGGGACCTTCGGGAAGAGCAGGCGACCAGGAAGTGAGAACTTGCCTTATTTTCGTTTGTTTAGGTCTCCAAAGAGGGGGCCGCCCCCCACCCCCTGTCCAGCAGGCCCTGCAGGCCTGGGCGATGTGCCGGATCCCAATAGGAAAGGTTTTTCTTTAGGGTCTGCCTTTCCAGGCACCCCTTCCACCCTCGGGTTGGAAGTGCAAGTATTTATGAGGTGCCTCCCCCTCGTTTTCTCGCCCAGTTACCCTGTGGTTCTCTGTGCCTTTGAACCTAGTGACATATGGCTCAGAGGCCAGATCTGGGCCTGTACAAGACCCCAATGACCATTGGCAATGAGGTTTACTGTCGAAGATCTGTGTTTCACACATACCCACAGGTCTTCCCCAACAGAGTTAATTTCTGCGGAGCTAATGCAAGTTCCTGTAGTTATATGTGATAAAAATATATAGATGAGCAGAAATTTAAGTTATGCAGAAATATATATGTTTACAATGAGTTAAAAAAAAAGTTACAATCTGCTGATATTACTGAGAGCTCCCAGCAATGTAAGTTGTACCTTGGGGCATGAATTCTTGATTGGCTTCTTCGTTTGATAAAGGTTCCTGTAAGTCTTTGGAAACATCAAAAGTTCCAAATTATTCAAACAATAAGGAATGAAAGCTTTCTGAAAAGGTCATGACTAATAAAGGAATGTGAAGACTTGGACCAAATAATGAGCTGTCCGGAAACAGGAAGTTTTGTAATGTTTCTCTGAAGTCCAGAGTTTTGTCCAACTTGAAGTATTGATACTCTTTCATGTTAGATCTCTTGTTCAAATTTCCATACTTTTCCTGTGCCTCTGCATTTCACTTTTTCACTAAAAGCCAGCAAGTCTGAGAATGCCTGGAACTATTTTCATTATATTTTGGTATAGGGTGAGTGGGATGTGCTTTTAGTAACTTAGTGAAACAGTGAGACTTCTCATATAAAATTGTCAGCAGAATCTTGTTTTCCCAGAACATTTTTTGACCAGCCATATTGGTGTGTAGGTATGCTTATGTAATGCTTTGATTCCTTTAGCACCTGTTAGTTTATATTCAGGTGACTTAAAGGGTAAAAATATTGCATAATCACTCAAAGCATCATGACAAGACAATGGAGTTTAGCACCACAATAACAGTAAGTGTTTTAACTGTCATTATCAGCTTAATTAAGAAATAAAATAAAATATTATTTATTTATACTAGGGATTGAACCCAGGGACACTCAATCACTGAGCTACACCCCACCCCCCACCCCCCACCCTTTTTTTTTTTTTTTTTTTTTTTAAATTCTGAGGCATAGTATCCCCAGGTTGTCCAGGCTGGGCTCAAACTTGCAATCCTGCATTGGTTGGGATTATAGGTGTGAACCACCATGCCCAGCTATATATTAAAATTTTTAACATATATCACAGAACATTTTTAGTGTCATAACCTGTCATTTCATTTTTAGTTTGACTCTTAAGACTTTTTTTTTTTTTGCCTTGTTTTAAACCTCAGAAGTATATGGATGTTGAAGGAAGCATCCAAAGTTTTTCATGTGTTCTGTCCTTTCCTCCGCATTCCTGATGTCAAAGGAAAGCTGCTAAAATTTAGAAGGTTCAACTAGGGCTTGGGATGTTAGCTCAGTGGTAGATTACTTGCCTAGCATGGGCCAGGTTCTAGGAGCACTGCAAGAAATAAAGGTTCAACTGTAGTAGTAATGCTTCCTCTGTTTAAGAGGAGGAAAAGCTAAACACTTTGTTGGATAAATGGAAGGTATAATAGAGTACTCAGAACCAAATAGGTGATCTATAAGTTTGATTGTAGTTGGATAGAGAGGTTAATAGGGTGGGAAAGAATTATTAGTGGTTTTCAATCTTATTTGCCCCCTTAGAGTCATTTGGAGTGCTTCTTTAAAAAATAATACCTGTGGCCCTCCCCAGATCAGTTGAAGGCCAGGTTATCTGAGTGAGGGATCCCGTAAATGAATAGTTGGGAAAAAAAAATTCTGCAGGTGATTTTTAATGTGTAGACAGAACTGAAACCTGCTATTCCAGGATATAAGGAAGAACTGCCATCAATAAACAATATGCCATTCTACATTAGGAGTTAATATTTCTGTTATCTTTCTTGACCACTTCCTCCTTCTCCTAATTACCTTGGTTCTAGGCTCTGGATTCAAAGCCACCCATACCACTTCTTGAGTAAATTATTTATCTTTGTCTTTTCTTTTCAGATAGGGATAGTTACAGTCCCTAGATTATTAAGAATTAAGTAAGATGATAAATGCAAAGAATTCATCACAGTGTGTAGTGCTGTGCTCAGTAAATACTAGTGTTGAAAGTGTTTATTTGTTATCCTTCTCAGGTATAGTTTTCCACTTGGAGACACACAAGTGTAAAATAACATATTAAAAAATCAGAACTGCCATTTTTAAACCTTACAATGATTCACTTTAGTCTGATATTTCCATTTTTTAAAGAACTTGTATGACCTTTAATAACTGTGAAGTATTTCAATCAGAATAAGAATCTTTGTTCTGAAAACTTAGTAAGCCTATTTTGTAATAACATAGATAGGTATAATAATAGTAATGTAATTTTTTTTTTATTGTTGTTACTGAGGATTGAATTCAGGGGCAGTTTACCTTAATAATAGTAGTATAATTTTGTTGTTGTTGTTGTTGTTATTATTGGGGATCGAAATCAGCCACATCCCCAGCCCATTTTATTTTATTTTATTTTATTTTGGGGGATACTAGGGATTGAACTCAGGGGCACTTGACCATTGAGCCACATCCCCAGCCCTATTTTGTATTTTATACTGAGTTGTTTAGTGCCTCCCTTTTGCTGAGGCTGGCTATGAACTTGCGATCATCCTGCCTCTCTGCCTTTGAGTTACTGGGATTACAGGCATGCGCCACTGTGCTGGTTCAGCCCTTTTAATTTTTGAGACGGGGTCTTGCTAAGTTGCTGAGGCTGGCCTCAAACTTGTAATCCTCTTGCTTCAGCCTCCCAAGTTGCTGGCATTACAGGCATGCACTGCTGTGCCCCGCATAAAACTTTTTTTTACATGACTGACAAGCACATTACCCAGTCATACTAGATTGGCCCAGTTAGCACCTGTAAATGTTTTTGAAATTGATGCTTATATGTTACTATAACTGTTGAGCATGTTCAGTTTTTCTTGCCTTTAAATATTAATGGGAAGGGCAATTACAAGTTCTAGTAAGACTATAATCCCCCCACCTTTTAACTAAGTCACTGATCAGAGCAGTCTTCCCTTACCAATTGGAAAGTAAATGATAGTGTAAACTGAGTCATCTAATTCAGGTCATTCTGGAAGGGTATAAATCTGTCTCTATATTTTTTATAGATTGGACTGAGTAGGTTGAATATTTCTTCATTTTTTCTACTTTAATATATTCTAGTATTAATCCTGGTTTTATTTTAGAAATCATTGTATTCTTGTATGACATAATTGGCATGTCATGATGATGATGTGAAAAAGTAAGTTATCTTCCATTTTGTACTACATAGGCAGGTCCAGCTTAGTTTTGAAGCATAATCAGATTTTAGGGGCATAGGATACAAAATGTCTAATTTTTGTGAACAAAGTCTGCTTTGAAGTGGATTTTAATACAATATTTTCATATGACCCCAAATTAGACACTTAATTTTACTCTTATTGTGAGCAGTGTTCTTTCTTGACATTCTTCTGGATATGGGTAACATTTTTCTTCATTATTAGATTGTATTTAGCAGAAGGGAAAAATCTGGTGTAAAGGCATATTTTGAAGAAAAGTGGTAATACAAGGAATGAAAGGAAATGTAGATTTAATAATATTTGTTTACATGAAACTTAAAAGGCTTGAACTGGCAATTCAGTTAAAAATAGATTTTTCTTTCCATGGCTTCTAATATTATGTAATGAAAATGAGGGAAAAAATGACTAACTTATTAGATATTGTTGGCCATACTAGCTAGAATATTTAATGGAGTTTTTTATTTCTCAGAAGAAATTTGTATAAAATATATTGATCATTTATTGAAAACTTTTGATTTTTCATAAGTATGATAACTCTAAGTGATGTGCTAATCTAAGAGTTAGATATTGAAAAGTAATTTGAGGCCAGTATTTTCTAGACAGGTTGTCATTATGACTGCCATTATTCTCTCCCATCTTCCTTATAGATATCCATATCAAATTCAAACTTGGGCTTTCCTAGAGTATTTATAATCTATGACTTCTAACTTAAATTGTGTTGTAGAGTTATTTTGTAGAGGTTTGTTTCTAATGTTATACTCTTCTAATTTTAATATATTATCATATCTTCATGTACTTCTGAGGTATAATCTTCTTCCCCTCTCCAAAAGTAATTCCTCATTTTTCAGCACCAGCTTTTATTAATGGCTGTGGGATACCACTCTTTTCTTGTTTTCATCTCAGCTAGTGAGATGAGGAAAATTGAAGACTTTGAATAATGTGACTTGAAATGAAAAAGTTTGGAAACTGTTTTGGGGTGCAGCATGACGTTTACATAGACATTGTAAGAACACTTGTTTTTTGACCTTTCAAATGATAAAGGTAATAAAATATTGTCTGTCTTGAAATTTATAATTATCTCAAGACTGCTACTAGATTCTGTGGTTAGCCGTAGGAATTTAACATGGTTTGCCCAAATTACAAAATTGCTGCAATTAAATGATTTATTAAAATGTCATAATTCCTGCCTCTTTCTCCCACCCAGCATAATAGGTGAGACATATTCCATTTTCTTTATAAATATTTTAAGTAAGTATTTTTTTGAGAGGGGATCTTTCTGTGTTGCCCAAGCTGGTCTTGAATTCAAACTATTCTCCTGCCTTAGCCTGCCAAGTGCTGGAATTTCAGGC